ACGGCTTGATTCCAGCTCACAACCACCTCAGGTAAGTTTGTCTTTGAGGTTAATTAATACTTCTAGGTACACACCACTCACAGAGTTACTAAAATCAACAGACTTTCTTCAAGTGAAGTATCCAGATTGAAACTCAAACCTGGACGAAATGATATTGAGTTTCGTGTCACCACAAAGTATCAAGGGACTTGCACATGTTCAGCTTCTATTTATTATTGGCATTGGTATGACAAAATAGTTGTTTCTGACGTTGATGGAACCATTACACGTAGTGATTTACTTGGACACTTGCTTCCTATGGTAGGTCGTGATTGGACACACTCTGGAGTTGCTCGACTGTACAACCGAGTTAAAAATAACGGTTATCAGTTCCTCTATCTTTCAGCCCGAGCTCTCGGACAAGCAGGTATAACTAGGAGCTATTTGAGACAAGTCGTTCAGGATTCATCATCCAGGTTGCCAGATGGACCAATACTATTGTCTCCGAATTCTCTTCTCCATGCCTTCCACCAAGAAGTCATTATTAATAAACCAGAAGTGTTTAAAACGAAATGCCTTCAAGATGTATGTTGCCTTTTTCCGAAGGGATCCTCTCCACTGTATGCGGGATTCGGTAACAAGGTTAACGATGTTTTCGCATATCAGAAAGCTGGGATCGAGCTTTGCCGAATATTCACAGTTAATCCACGAGGAGAAGTTCGTAATGAATATCAGTCCTTAAGAAGTACAAGTTACCATGAGTTGGGAGATTTAGTGGATCTTCACTTCCCACCTCTTTGTAAGTACCAGACTACACATATACCACATCCTGTTGACTATCATTCTAGTTGTGTTATAAAGTCAGAAAATTCGACGCCAGCTGTTGCACATCCACCTGACACATTTGACCCCGTACTTGTTGATTTAACCACGTTCTCTAGTTTTTCGTTTTGGAAATCTAATTACGAATTATCTTTTCCTCTTCCGAAAACACTGGAAAATTCTTGATATATATATATATATATATATATATATATATATATATATATATATATATATGTCTGAAGTACATTTTCAAATCGCCTTTCTTGTTGCTCGCTTCCATTCTAGTAACATAACTAATGTAGTGTTTATCTTGCAAACAGACACCCATATTTTTCAACATATTTGCCTTTCTGTTTTATTAAGAATGTTACAGAGATTATTATTTTCTACTTTACGTACAAATTGTACCTAACTATTCGTAAAAATGAACTTTCTGAGATTAATAAAATGATAACGAATTATTTGTACTTTTCATACTATTTTTCAATAAAATAACTGAATACACACTAGTTGGAACTTTTAGGCTCTATCGGAGAACCTATCTATAGATAGTTGTTTTGAACAGGCCGCAGCGCATTTGACCGAAATAGCTTATTCTCTGGACTCCAACACGTTACTCTACTTCTACGCTAGGTACAAACAGGTTAGTTACCGTTTAAAATTTTGTAGTTTGGCTTGTGTACAAATCGTAACAGAATATTTCCGCAGCACATTTACATCGATCCAGCCCACCGGCAACCTAAATGTGTCTTTCTTAGAATCATGTCCTGAAGCTGAATGTGTACGCATAAAAAATTTACTTCTTTGTCCTTAATAAGTTACTAACTTGCGCCTGTTACGCCTCGTGGAGGAGCATAGGCCACCCACCAGCATTCTTCATCGAACTCTGTTCCATTTATTTATTTGGACGCATAAATATTAGTACAAAGAGGCACCGAATACATATGCGCAACACAAGTCACTTGATTTGTGTGTGGACTGTGATACTGTCCGGGTGCTCAAACTAAAGCAGGTGGTTTTCTTAGGGGACCACATCCGGAGCCTTCGATCTAAAGGTCTGATCCACAAGGCAGTGGAGCAACATCAGAGATGCAGTCCCACGGTAGCCGATGACCAACGATTGGTTTATACGCCATTTGTTCCTTCAGGATACTGGAGCCCATAAGGAGAATTGGTTTGTAATCAGGGTTTCCCAACTCCTAGATAGATCCTCCATATCCACCAACTCGGTCATTCTATTTTCGTTCTCTCAATTTCGTAAACAACACCCCCGCCGCGCGAAGTCAGTGAGTAGGACTTTCCTAACAGTGACTGTATACGCGTAGCCGTGTGAGAGCATTTGAAGAGGGAGCTAACTCTCCACACCCTTGGCCGTACCAAGGCATTTGGGAGCAGTTTTTTCCATTTGCTGATCATCACTTTGATGTCTGTCTCATTCCCGGCACAGTGTTCCTCAAAATTCCTTTTTTCCGTTTCCCTTCGGGATTCCAAGTCAGAGCCTGCCTCGTAATGGAGTTTGATGACTCCCACAATGTATGTCCCATCCACCTTCAGCATCTTTTACTAATTTCTTCTTCATCTGATGGTATCCGGTCAAAAGATATTGAATATTGAGTGAATACATGTTCCCTTTTTATATTGATGGTTGTAGTAGTTCTCCATGTTTCAGCTGCATATAGTAGAATTGTGTTGACGTTCGTATTAAAGATTCTCATTTTGATATTGGTTGACAGTTGTTTTGATTCCCATATGTCCCTCAACTGTAGGAATGCTGTCCCTGCTTTGCCAATCCTTACCTTTACGTCGGCATCAGATCCTCCTTGTTTATCGACGATACTGCCCAGATAAGCGAAAGCTTCCACCTCTTCCAGAGTCTCTCCATGAAGTGTGATTGGGTTGGTATTCTCCGTGTTGTATTTGACGATCTTGATTTTTCCCTTGTGTATGTTGAGGTCTACTGACGTAGAGGCTGCTGTCACACTGACTGTACTCACCTGCATTTGTTGGTGTGTGTGTGTGTGTGTGTGTGATAGAAGAACCATGTCATTTGCGAATTCCGAATCGTCTAGTTGCATGTGAGCTGTCCACTGTGTTCCGTGCTTCCTCTGAGATGTCGAGGTCTTCATAATCCAGTCAACCATCAGAGGAAAGAGAAAGGGAGGAAGTAAGCAGCCTTGTTTGACTCCGGTCCTGACTTGTAATTGGTTTGTGAGCTGTCCTCCATACACGACTTTGCAGTGTAGTCCATCGTATTAATTCCGTATGGTGTTGATGATTTTCCCTGGTACATTATAGTGTGGAAGAAGGTTCCATAAGGTTTTCCTATCCACCCTCGAATGATTTCTCATAATCAATGAAGTTGGTGTATAGTGACGAGTTCCATTCAATTGATTGTTCAACGATGATCCGTAATGTCTGTGCACTACCTATCCACACGGAATCCGGTCTATTGATCTCGAAGCTGGTCGTTTACTGAATCTTTCATCTGGTTCGGCAACACTGTTGAAAACGTTTCTTGGCACCGATACTAGTGTGATGCCTGTGCAGTTCTCACACTTGCTGAGATCTCCTTTCCTTGGTATCCTGACGAGATATCCTTCTTTCCGGTGTCTGTCTGTCCGTCTGTCTGTGTCTATCAGTATGTTGTCACTTGTTCCTCCTCCCAAATCCTCCTGAATGGAACATGGAACATGTTTGTGGTTACTCCGACGTGTGACTTGAATGATTCAGTTGGTAAATTGTCAGGTTCGACTACTTCTACTGCTGTTGATGTTTTCCCACAGTTGATTTGTTTGATGACCGATCATCGTGATTTCTTCGATCGTCGGTGGAGTGACAGTTGTAGGAATGTGTGTATGTGTTGCCTCGATGTCCGTTGTGTTCATTGGAGCTGTTCTATTCAAGAGTTCGTCAACGTGTTCTACCTATCTGTTCCTGCCTTGTCTTGTTTGTCCTTAATCGGTCTCTGGTTTACTCTATTTCCCTGCTTGTTTCTTGGTTGCGCCATACGGTTTTCTGATATTTGCTTGTGTTACAGCTTTTTCCACCGTCGTTGTTAGGTGTTCCATGTATTTCTTCCTGTCGACTCTAATGCTCCTCTTCACCTGTTTGTTTGCTTTGTGTACTCAGCTTGTGCCCTGACCATCTCCGTTCTTCTTCGACTGTTGTTAATTGCATTGTTTTTGTTCTTCTTTTCTTGAATCCAAGACAGGAGTTCCATAGAGATCCATTCGTCATGATATTGCTTGTTGTGGTGCAGCACTTCCTGACACTTTGAAGTTGGCGTTACTTTGATCCCTTTCCAGTTGTTCTCCATAGTATTTTCCTCTTCTTCTTTGAGTAGATCCTGTAAGACTTGGAACCTGTTGTTGAGAGCTATCTAGAGTTCTTTGAGTTTTAATGAATTAGTCCGTTTGATAAATTTTGTAATGTAATAAGACGAAAATTATCAGAACTATGTGATATATTAGCGCAATACATTTCGAACAATCCAATCACACATATACTTGTTAAGAACATTTATATATGAAAATTAAAGGTGTGTGGAGCGTACAAAAATTATAGTGATAAAAGCTATGTATTCTTTACAGATAGTAGTGAAGTACTGACGCATTTAACTTCATACCAAAAACTAAGCACTATAAAACTGCGAATTCAGCATATATTGGTTTAGAATCTATCAGTCAATACTGCCTGTACTTGAGATTACTGTTGTCACATTATATTCCGAACCAACAGAAGGTAAGTAATTATTCTTGATGTGAGAACTTGTTTTCTCTTCTTATACACTGAGTAAAAATTAGTTGTACATGTTAAAATTATGAGTGAACATTCAGGCGAAACATAGGACGTACAACCGTCTTGCCATAATACTATAGTTTGAGTAGCCTGGTCACATTGCTAGCTTTCATAATATGAGTATGACATATAACCTTCATAAATAGGTCTTTGTATTGTTTTAAAAGTACGTTGATATTGACGGGTGCAACGTCTGATCGGAATATTTTTTGTGTTCCTTGTATTCACTTAAGAAACCGTTTAATCTATATTAATTGCTTATGTCTAAAGGTTACGCCTTATGAAGGTAATACGAACTATTAATTCACCATTTAGCATCCAAGTTTAGAATCATTTTCCCTTATTTTTATTACAGGCCACTGTTGGCCCATGCAATGTATCAAAACCAGGAATTTTCGATGTCAGTGGTCGAAAGAAATGGTAAGTATGCTTGCGATTCAATAGTTCACATTTTACTGTACAAATTAGATCTGTTAAAAAATAATTAATGATAATTTACTAAATAGTTTTAACAGGTCCTGGATTGTTACCATTTGTCTGTTTGTTTTGTATTTATTGACACCCATCAAGTATCTGTGTTTTCAGCAGATATTTTTTTATCTTCCTGTTATAACTTGTCAATTGAATGCTGATTGTCTTGGCTCTTTTAATGCTAATTTTTATATCTGGTCGTTGCTGATTGTTGTGTCAGAAACGCTTATCACTTATACTTGAAACTAGGGACCTGTGCAATTTTCACGAAGAACACAAGACTGGTGAAGATTTATTAACTCCCAAAACACGACGACTCTAGTAGAAAATACACTCATTTATTTATTGATTGTACACCCATTTTGATTAATAATTAGGATGAAATCACATATATGAAAAATACTTAGTTATAACAAATCACATACTGGGCATAGTTCATGTCAATTGAATACAAGAATATCGTATATTATACAGAATAAAATATCATACGTGGAAACAAAACCGAATACTACACTGAATAATCATCACATTAAATCAAAACGGAAGTAATCTTGAACTAAACTCATATGTTTTCTTCCCGTCATATCACTTCCACTAAACTCATGAAGAGAAAACTCATTTTTAGACTATACTTATAAACATAATAGGACCTGATATAAGTAGTTGCTGAAAAAAATATACTGTTTTTCATATCAGAACGTTATCGGTTGATCGGTTTTTGTCACTAAATATGTTGATAGAACGAAAGCAAATGGGCAATAAACAAAAAAACCTACATTTTAAAGAGTTGAAATAGGAAATTCCTATGACCTTATTAATTATCAAATCGGTGTTCCATTGATATACTGTAGATTTTATAAATTTTTTTAAACTGTGTTTGTCTATAAATAACTTTTATTAATATTTGTGTAAGTTATGTTTTATCCAGGTTAATGGGGATTCAACAGTTGTTACTTTGCAACTTTAATTAGTTTATTTTATATGCCTTTTATCACGGTTAGAGTTAAGTATCATTTGAATTGGAAATCTAATTTCTCTCCAAGTTGTTGTTAAGAGGGAAACAAATATATAATTTAGTATTGTTATATTTCTAAATAAAATCAATTGATTTATTGATTTCATAAATTATATACACACATGAGATTACTAATTACCCATCAATTCAATCCATTCAAATTCATTAATTGATTGAACATTTAAAATGACATGTAAGTTTCTACTCCTGTGGATGTCGTTTAATTAGTGGTTAGTGAATAAATTAGTCTTCTTTTTCAGTCTTATTTTCTTCCTTTCGTCAGCATAACAGTCTCGTCCCGTTGAAATAAGTTTCATGTAGCGGTTATTCTGTCATCATAGTAAAAGGTTGCACCCGTAGTATTAATCAGCACTTAGCTCTAACTACAATACTGACAAATCGATCTTGTTTCAGGTCATCATAGCTAGTGTATTGGAGGTATTTTCACCAGCTGTAAAATCCAGTTCCAGATAATTTAATGTCTCCTCTACTTTAAATTAATAATATGTGTAAACTAAATAACATCTGCCTGAAAATACTAGTAAAATTCTTTCCTTTTTATTTTAAATTCATACATGATCATTGAATTTATATATTATAATCACATGTACAAATTTAGCGTGTTAGCAAAAACTTGACTGATATCAGTAAAGGTTATATAACCCAAACTTTAAGCGGTAGATATGTAGAAAAGGATATTAAACAAACATTATATTGACGTTATTCTGTATCCCTTCGAAATCACCCACTTGAAATATGTAAAAAGATACTACCAGTAAAAATTGTGTTGAAAAGGGTTCTTTGTATTCGTAAAATAATTCCATGATAAATTATGTGAAAATATAAATTAACCCATTCACCAGGTACGTGGATATAATCAGGTACTACTCGGTTGGGCAAACCGAGGTAGGTGGGGCTTAATTCGATTTTAACATAATTCAAGTAAAAACGATAAATGAACATGTTTGGATTTTTCATGTGTGTCTTGAAAATGCAACTCTGTTTAGCATAGTGTTAAAATTTCCATTAATAGAGTTTATTTTTCAATTGGATTTTAAATCAGGGTCTTATAGAATTACTTGAAATTGGAATAAAAATTGGTATTTTACATGATATTATCCGTGGATGTACAATTTTAAAAGACCAAGAGAAATAGGGTTCAGTGTAGTTACGCACAACTTGAATTTAAAAAAAAACTGAAAGGAAGCGAAAGGGTTGGTAACAGTTATATGTATGATTACTGTACTACACAAGCAAATGACATGTTTTCATGAATCATGTGAAGTAAGCTAATATCCCAACTAAGTCCCCGTAAACCGGTGTCTTAACCCAGCAGCCCAATAGAAATCTCCAAAAATGCTTAGAGCTACCTATAGTTTGGATTTTCTTCGTGTTTCTCTACAAAAATGCATGACAATCTACATTTTCTGTAAAAAGTTCATCCCGAAGATTTAAAGCAAGATTCATCAGAAATGCTACTCATCCCTTCGATTTTTATATTACAACTGGTACCCAAATCCATTACCTATTTTTGCAATTCACAGGGTTGGTTATCCACTGGATTACTAAGTCCAAAAAGGTATTCGAAACATCCTCAGAGGTGTTAGTGGTCAGTAGGAGCTATAAAGCTGAGCCTACGTTCTAACCCCAACTGTAAGCTAATATCACAATACAATCGCAATTCATATTCTGGTCATATTTTTTTGTGAGTTTTATGTTGTTGGTCGATTTCAGGTGGGCGTGGCATGATCTTGGGAATATGCCTATCGATGAAGCACAAAAGCAGTATATTGATAAGCTACAAGAACTGAATCCTGAATGGAAACCATCGGTAACTTTGATTTATTTCCGTAACCGGAATCGTTAATTCATAAAACTGTATTTTCTTAATTACCTTAACAATAGTTTCAGACAGAACGTTTTTGGTTCTTGAATCAATAATGTCTTTCCAAATTGTGTTTCTCAACTTAAATTCCAAGGGTTTATAGTGTCTATGGAAGCTGATATATGTTAAAACATACAAAATATATGTGCATAATATTCCAGTTCATGCTTGTAATGACTTTGCAGTTCAAAAGCCAAAATTCCTAAAACTGACAAGCAGTTTCGAAACCCGCTCAATATACTTTGGTCTGTTTTAATTTACGGCAGCAAAACATGGCCATTAAGAGTAGAAGACACTCGTAAGCTACTAGTATTTGACCACAGATGCCTTAGAAATATTGCTGGCGTCTGCTGGGATCACCGGGTAAGTAGTAGTGATATTTGGCGCAGGGTATTAGGTAATGATGGTAAATCAGTTGATGAGGTTGTAAATCTTCATCGACTAAGATGGTGAGACCACGTGTTACGTATGCCCGAACACCGACTACCACGACGTGCAATGCTATCCGGTGTTCGGGATGGTTGGAAGAAAGTTAGGGGCGGCCAAACCAAAACATGGCATCAGTGCTTGAAGTCACTAACTTCTATTCTGAGTCATGTTGGTGGATGCAGACTACTTGGTTGGGGTCCGCGTGACTATCGTGACCAATGGTTGGAGACTCTTGGTGACATGGCTCAGAGTCGATCACAATGGCGTCGGCGTATACGCTCTCTGTCTTCCCTTAAACTAAGAGATTAAAATCTCTTCATATCTCTCTTTCTAGGAACTAATTCTTTCTTCCTGTACTATATCCTTATTGCAATCTTTCTTTTATATATTACCACCTCTGAATTAACTACTTTTATGATTCCGGTGTTCATCTTGTTGTGTTAATGAGGTATGGCAACTTGGACCGATGCATATATGTGCCTGGTCCTATGCTGTAGCTGACTGCCTTTGGTTGACACAACCAGGTAGCACCTCTAGCTGTTACACAAAAGGTCTCGTTCTGTATCAACTACATGAACTTGTATTTGATTACTCACTTAGATTAAACGTATAAACAATTCAGAGAATAATCGCTATTTGAATCCATCATAACATTTCAGACATTTACATAATTGATTAGTTTATATACTGGTTTGTAGAATATGTTTTCCTTTTTAACATGTAATCTGGATTATAATATAATTACCACTTGACGTTAAAATATGATAGATTTTCAACTGGAATAGTCAATAAATCAGCTACAACATAGGACCGGGCATATACTTGCACCGGTCGAAGTTGCCACACCTCATTAGCACAACAAGATGAACACCAAATTCACAGAAGCAGTCTCTTCAGTGGTAGTAATATATATAGATGATTGCATTTAAGGATACGATACGGGAACAAGAATTGGTTGGTAGAAAGAAGGATATAAAGTAATTTTAATCCTACAGTTTAAGGGAAGACAGAGAGTGTATGCACCCACACCATTGTGATCGATTCTGAGCCATGTCACCAATAGTCTCCAACCATTGGTCACGATAGTCACGCTGACACCAACCAAGTAATCTACATCTACCAACATGGTTCAGACCAGAAGTGAGTGACCTCATGGACTGATTTCACGTTTTGGTTTGGTCACTCTTCGATTTCTTCCAACCGTCTCCAACACTACTCAGCACTGCGCGTCATGGTAATCGGTATTCAGGTATACGTCACACGTGGCCTAACCAACTCAGTCGATGAAGATTTACAACCTCATCCACTTGTGTGCCATCATTTCCTAATACCATGCGTCAAATATCACTATCACTTACCCGGTTATCCCAGCAGATGCGAGCTACATTTCTAAGACATCAGTGATCAAATTCTAGTAGCTTACGAGTGTCTTCTACTCTTCTACTCTTAATGGCCACGTTTTGCAGCCGTATAGTAGGACAGAACGTACTGCTGCACGGATATCTGGTCTTTACCATATGTGACGTAAGTAGGTAAAAGCCAAACGAACTTTCTGAAACCGTGCAGAGATTTCGTCAGACACCAACCCATTATAGCTAGTCAGACTTCCAAGATAAGTGAAGTTGTCGACGCGTCCGACTATTTCACTCACTTGCGCGGCAGTCCGTTCTGTTTTAATTTACGGCAGCGAAACATGGCCATTAAGAGTAGGAGACACCCGTAAGCTACTAGTATTTGACCACAGATGCCTCAGAAATATTGCTGGCATCTGCTGGGATCACCGGGTAAGTAATAGTGAGGTTAGACGCAGGGTATTAGGTAATGATGGTAAATCAGTTGATGAGGTTATGAATCTTCATCGACTGAGATGGTTGGGCCACGTGTTACGTATGCCCGAACACCGACTACCACGACGTGCAATGCTATCCGGTGTTCGGGATGGTTGGAAGAAAGTTAGGGGCGGCCAAACCAAAACATGGCATCAGTGCTTGAAGTCACTAACTTCTAGTCTGAGCCATGTTGGTAGATGCAGACTACTTGGTTGGGGTCCGCGTGACTATCGTGACCAATGGTTGGAGACTCTTGGTGACATGGCTCAGAATCGATCACAATGGCGTCGGTGTATACACTCCCTGTCTTCCCTTAAACTAAGAGATTAAAATCTCTTCATATCTTTCTTTCTACGAACCAATTCTTTCTTCTTGTACTATATCTCTATGTGCAATCTTTCTCTTACATATTACTACCTTTGACCTAACCACTCCTATGAATCCGGTGTTCATCTTGTTGTGCTGATGCGGTATGGCAACCTGGACCGATGCACATATGTGCCTGGTCCTACGTTGTAGCTGACTGACTGACTGATTTCACTCACTGTCCTTAGTTCAGATGTTGACGCATGTCAGTCCTGGGACAATAACTTGCATTTAGAGGTGGAAAAACACATCCCAAACATTCTGGCATTGTTGCTCAGTGCTATGAAAAGGCTCTGCATTTTATCAACATCTTCACCAAACAGGACTATGTTATCTGCATATTCTAAGTCGGTAAGTAGACCTCCTGGTTGGAGATGGATTCCCGATTATTCAGTGGACCTGAACGCTGTTTCCATCAGTATATCTATGATGAATTTGAACAAAAATGGAGATAGTGGACAGCCTTGACGGACACCACTTGAGGTTGTAAAAACAAATGACAGTTCGTCATAAACTCTGACTCGACTAGCGGTGTTCGAGTAAAGAGCCTTCACATGGTTTATGTACTTCTGAGGTACACCTTTCGATGACAGACAGTCACAGAATTTCTCGGTCTATAGAGTGGAATGCTGCTTTTGAGTCAAGAAAAACTATTGTTGTCGGACGCCGATAAACATGCCTGTGTTCTAGAACCTGACGAATAGTGAATATGTGGTCTATGCAGTCACGACCAGGTCTGAAGCCAACCTGATTTTCTCGTGTTTGCAGTTCCCGAGTCTTAGTTAGGCGTCTGATAATTATTGATGCTAGTATTTTAGATACTATATTAGTTAAACCAATCCCTCTATGGTTGTCGTAGGATGATTTTGATTCCTTGTATATTCGGACAATCAGTGATTGTGCCCAGTCAGATGGGATTACGTCCAACTCCCAGATTTTAGGTAAAATATTAGTTAACCCAATTGCTGAAACTAGACCACTATTCTTAAAGACATCTGGAGCAGCTGCTCTTCCTCGTTTGGGATTAACTATAGCCTTTTGAACTTGAACTAGAATCGAGGGACCCACTTCAATGTTCCATTCACTCTGTCTTGGAATAGTGGGTAGTTGTAGAGTAGCTGAAGACTAGTTGGACTGCTCCTTAAAGTGTTCCGCCCATCATTTTAAACGTTTAGGCTGAGAGCAGATAAGAGTGTCGTCTGTTTCCGAGGTAGTCTCACTTACACCTGACCTATTAATATCGGTTTCTTTTATTAGTCTGAAGAGCTGTCTTGTATGACCTAAAACCGCTGCCTTTTCCATCTCTTTTGCGTTCGTTGCCCACCACTGCTCACGGTCGTTCCTTAGACTTTTGGTTAACTTAGGTCTGATTCGTTTTCGCTCTTCATCGTGTTCAGAGCCTGATGTGATGAGTTTACGAGAATCTATCAGTGAAATAGACTTAGAAGAAATCCAACGGTTTTTCATAACCCTTTGATTAAAATCACTAGTAGATGTCACTGCTGTTTCTACAGCTGTTCGTATATCTTTCCAAACAGAGGCACAATACGATAAGTCGTATCTCATTTTTTCCAACTCCGTGTTTCGATGGTGAATGTTCGCCCCGAAATGCCCTGGCACGGCCGAAGGTTGGGAGAGTCAGCTCTCTCTCGAAATGTTCTCACATGGCCACGCATATATAGCATCTGCCAGGGAAGTCCTACTCACCGTCTTCTCGTGGCGGGGATGTTGTTTACGAAATTGGGAGGACGAAAAGCGAATATCTGGCGCTTGAACCAAGTTGGTGGACATGGAGAGTCCACCTAGGGGAGTTGGAAAACCCTGATTCCAAACCAATGGTGCACATGGGCTCCAGTATCCTGAAGGAACAAATGGCTAATGAACCGATCGTTAGACATTGGCTACCGTGGGACTGCATCCCTGACGTTGCTCCACTGCCTTGTGGATCAGACCTTTAGATCGAAGGCTCCGGATGTGTTCCCCTAATAAAACCACTTGCTTCGGTTCGGGCACCCGGGCAGTATCACAGCCCTCACACAAATCAAGGATAGCTGCTACTGGCCTCATTGTTACTGTGTGGCGCATATTTATTTGGTACCCCCTTGTACCAATGTTTATGTTTTCATATAAATAAATTCTAATAGTGCTTCTTCTGCTCTCATGCTTAGCGCTATACCTACATTCGCCAGTCCACGAGAACTAGCCATCGGGTCGCCAGACAAACGGAAGATGTATCTCGTCGACTCCCCGTTTTGGTGAGTTGAGTTCAAGTGAATGACCCCACTAGGATCCTGTATGTGTGTTTCGGAGACAGCGTACATCAACGGTACGAGATCCTACTTTCTTAGCCAAAGAGACCTGTTGGCCGATTAGACATAGGGTACGTACGTTGTAAACTCCAATGTGTAGTTTGGAGCGAGGTTTCAGTGTACAGTGTTTCGTGCACTAGAATCGTTGTCCATGGTGACACTTAAGGAGTAAGTCGAAAACGAAAGTGTAAAGTTGATAGTCGAGGTAGGTGGAATAATAGGAATTGAATTGGACAGTTTTCACTTCTCGGTTGCCCACACCGTGAAAGGGTTCTTTTAGAGGCACCTGAAAAGGATTTTGTATAAATAATCTTATCAGTCAAATTGTATACTTTTACTCATTGACTCGAACTAGCACCGAATTCTTAAGTCTAACAGTTATAGCAATTAAGCTATTAATTCATAATAGCAAGATCGATTTTATACCTATATTAAGAATTAATTCTGTAGTCATATCAATGTTATTGGTGAAATAGCTTGTAGTAAATAATCAAATAGTTTTCACTGTGTTCAGTTACATGATTTCTGTATAATATGTGTACTTTCACTCGATCACTCAGTTTGAATATAAAGGAAATTAAGCAACGTGTAGTTGTGAATTTCTAGTTTAAATTGTTTACCTTTTGTTATTCCAACTGTCTAACAGTTGAATTTTCATCTACGCTACTCACTTTTTATAGTAAAGACTAATGTAAATATACTTTTCATTAGTATAGCAACTCTAGTTCTACAAAGAGCGAAATTTTGCTAGTGATAATCAAGTGGGAGTTGATGTAGAAAAAGGTATATGATGTTTTATTGATTCAATCATTCTTTATCCTTACTGCTCAGTTTTTCTGACTATCAAGCATTCAATCCCACGTTGATGTACAACATCTATCACGATAGATTCTCAGTAAGCACAGGACCAACGTTCTTTAAAGATCTAAAGTTTTCAAATATTAAGCAAGTTCTACGGTAAAAATGTGAATACTTATAACTTACCCAACCATTAGTTAACCAAGTACATGACAGTTTTAATTAATCAAACAAAATTTTTCATGTATTATTTGTAGAACGAGAAACAAAGATCTGTATATGTCAGTCGAATGATCAATTTGAACCCGAACTCAAATGAATCACCACTTGTATCTGACACTGACCATCCAATTTTTAATATAATTAAACAAAATGATATAGATTCTTTAAATCGTTTATTATCAGCAAATGGTAACGAGGTTCATTCAACCGATGAAAATGTAAGGTACTTTTTCAAATCAGAATTGTTATTAAGGTCAACTTTACATTTTTTTTTACCAAGTTCACATATAGTCGACTAATTACATCCTTCCTAATGACATTACAAAATATTCTGTTCCGTCTTATAGGTCTCATCTTTGAATTATACATGTAATTTAATTTATAATGGATTACAATAAGGCAAAGTTAACCCACAATTAGTTCATGTTTATTTTTAAAATCTTATTATAGAAGAATTTCCAGGTGATTATTTAAAGCTAAATATTTATAGGTTTAAATAATGTACCTAAAGTTTGACAAATATTCATCACCTAAAATAAACAACCACTCTCAATCCCCCATTTTCTGCATGTACAAAGTTTTAACCATCTCAAAGAGAGATTGTATTAGAGAAATGTGTTAAGAATAAGCAAAATTCACTATTCATTATTGGATATGTATATTTTCTTCTGGAAAAATTGTTTTACTATTACTGGACAATTACTGAATAAGAAATGAAATGTTGACTTGACAAACATTTACATTCAGAGTTTTGTTGAACTTTATCTGAATATGGTGTGTTTTTAATATTAAAACTAAAAGCATCAAGTATTTCTTGTAAATCTAGAGATTAAAACCTAATTTCAAGTCTGAATAAACCATTGGAATGGGTTGTAGTTAATATTGACCTTAGTGTATATTGTCACTCTTCTCTTAAATGTGAAAATAATGTACATTAATTAGAAACCGCCACTATTAAACCCTGATGTATCCATACTCCTGTTAAATTTATACAAACACTCGTCGGTAAACAAAGATCCCATTTCTGATTTCTTTTTCAGAATTTTCACTGTTGTAATAATCATATAGATTTACCTGTTTTGATCGGTTGCGTAATGTTAACCGTAGTAAGTCAAATGTGATAATAACTCATGTAGTGTAGAGGTGATCTGGTGGTTAAGGCTTTGAACTTTCGCTTACTAAGTTTCATGATGAAATCTCTCCCTACCTGAACTCGGGAAACTGGTTAGCACTACCAGTCCTTGCGCATATAGTGTGGCCAAGTACATAAATCTATACCTGGTAAGAGAGAAACTGTTTGAACACAATCGTATATTAAGCTTTAAATTATAGACGTTATACGAAGGTCAACAGTGTTGCTCCATTGAAAATCTGTGAAGTGCTTAGGAAACCCATGACTTAGTTACTTAAAACACTAATGTTCATATTAGTTTAGGGTAACTAGTTTACAATCACATCTAGAGAAAAGTTACACACGTAATTATTATTCCATTAAACCAAATATTTTGTGGATCCACTCTCCATGGGTTTATATACTCCATAAAAAGTAATAAAAAGACAGCAAATTGTCTAAGGGACAATAATGAAACTCTTGCACCAACATTTATTAAGAAAATTGGTAAGTATTTCCATATTTCTAGTTTATTATCTTGCATCGATCACACGATTTCACCGTCTAAAACAAACTCATTCTTCTGAAACAACGAAAATCATATATTTATTATCATTTTCTTATTATTTTCATATTTCCATCATACTAACCTGTCAAGGGAATGACTCCTCTTCATTGGGCATCGGATCGAGGATTCACTGATCTAGTTTCTACTTTGGTCAAATATAATGCAAATATAGATGCCAAAGATGCTGAAGGACAAACACCTCTTCATTATGGTAGGACGTTGCTTGTTTATTTATTTAAACATAAACATTGGTATAAGGAGGCACCAACACACAAATCATTTGATTTGTATGAGGGCTAGAATACTGCCTGGGTGCCCAAACCCAGGTGGAAATTTTCCCCAAAACTCTCGGTTATGCAATGCTTTTTTATTATACATTTGACCAAGAAATTAATTTGAACAATAAGTATACATCCTGCACTATGAACAATGCTACTGACCAACCAGGGCTGAACATCAAAAGCCCTAATGAGTCAATAAAATACACAGATACTGCCTACTTGTAAGCACAGTTATTTAGTTGGATGATTAATACTATTTTGTATTGAAAACCAGGAAAATCCAGGATGTACTTTTCATTCTATTCAAAATCCATCAGTTAGATCTACTTTCATCTTCGTATTGATATCTTTTGTACCCAAAACGGAAAAATATAAACACTTATAGATAACAACAAATACCAGTGAAACAGTATTTTAGGGATGAACCAATCGGATTCAAGATAGGGATTTCTAGGTCATAACATACATGAAATAACAATACTAACTATAAACCCTTATTTATCTACTTTTAACTAGAATTTAATAGCTTAGTATTCGTAAGGCGTTGAACTAGTAAAAAAAACCGTTTCATGTGATTTTTGCGAGGAACGGAATGTAAACTAAGTTTAGGGAGACACGGTGAAATAATGACTTTATATATTATTGTGCTGATGGAAATTATTGAGAAGAGATTTAATTCCGTTGACATACGTTCGGAGATTATGCTATCCTTAATAGGTACAGGCAGAATCATTGAACGGTTATCAGAAGAATGGTGTATAATAAGTGAAGTGTTAAAATACAGTGACCAAGTAGTAGTTCCTTACATTCACCCAAATAAAATATCAGTGACGCAAGTCTGCATTTGTATACATTTTTATCTCATTTTTCCATTTGATTACCTTAAATCTCGTCTTTTGTATAATTGTTTAATAATATTTTCCTTTTAAATCTGAATATTCCTTTTTTCAAGTATCGAATTAATTTGTTTATTTTGTATACTTACAGCTTGTTCTTGTGGTCATGATGATGTTATACAAGTCTTATTAAAATCTAATGCTGATATCTATGCTACAGACAATGAAGGAAGTTATACCTATGATCTGTATGATGGTAACTTTCATACATTATTTAGCGAGTACTTACATGGATCAACGTCCTGGTTTTAAGCTTGTGTGTGTATGTCTTTGTTACCATTTTGTTAATTTCATGATCACTTGATTTCAATAAATTTCATATTCTGATCATCCACTTCATATGCTCACCAATATTGTATTACTTATCAATAATATGAAATAAAATGTGTAATTATTTTAAGTATAGTTATTTCGTATAACTGTTATGATATTTTGATTTTCATCTTTTTCTCAATTTATTAATTTTCTACTATTGAACGTTGTATCTACCCATAATTATACGATTTATGCGTACAATTTGGCCTCAATATCAAATTATATACGGTAATTTATGTTCGAAACAATATTTCTTAAATCATATTGTCTCTTCGTATTTAATCAATCAACTAGTCTAGAGTAATACCATGTTATACTGTTGCTTTGCAATACATCTATTGAAACCTGAAGAATCCTGCGTACAATAGACAAATAACTCAACAGGAAATAATTATACACTATATCGTCAAAGAAATAACTTGAAATAAACTATTTACGATTCTTTTTGGAAACTATAGTCATTATTGGTTGACGATTATTTTAACTTGACAATACTCATTAACTGATTGTCTGTAACTAAGATTTAATGAACTTGAAGATCTGTCAACTTAGACTTGGAGCTATTCAGTCGGTTTATTTTGTGAAGCGCTTTATCTGGAATAATATTGTCCGACCGGCCATTTAAAAAAAAATTTTTCCACCCCCCAAATTACAATATTTTTCATCCCTTTATCTGATAGGTGTTAAAAAAACAATCTGATTACTCACAGCATAACGACAAAGTTCGACTATATAAATGTATTACAAGCTGTCTATCATGATATAGTTTAGGTTTAAAAAAACTAAGTTTCATTTTTAATAATCAAGGTACTATATTTGTTAAGTTCCAATGAGTAGAAGCTAGATTTCTAACGTTTCGTGACTTAGAGTAAACCACTTCTTCACAGAATAAAAATACGTGAACTGAATTAACACAAGTTCAAGAGACACAAAGTAAAATATTTTTAATACAATCGAAATTAAGATAGGCCTAATCATGCTAATATTATTGTGTTCTCTGTAACAAGGTTATTTCCTATTGTGTAATACCTAGTTGCATGTAGTTGTGTGTGTGGAAAATGATATTTGTGATGTGGAAGAGTGGGGTTAGGAATATTTGTTTATTTTTCAGTGGCGTGAGATGTGAACAAAATTAGTTGTGTAAATATTTAATAATTGATCCACGTTGGATAAATCGTTAGGCCTTCCTTCCTCCTAAGCCCAGTAGGGTTTATCAAAACATGAAGGGCTTCAGCCACTCGCCTTTATAATTGGAAAATCCTTCATGAATAATTTTGGTGTTATTAATATTGGCTTGGTAGTTGTTAGAAATAGCATGTACTGTTATTGCTGATTTGATTTGTAGGTTATCTAATTGCACATAATCATTTGGAGGTCTTTTTGTGTAGCCTGAATGTTCATGAGAAGACTCCCCAGCATAGAATGCATCACAGTCAGTTTACACATCCTAGTCTGTAGACAAAATGCTGTGTTGAAGTGACAGGGATCTCATCCTTGATTTGAACTAAAGCCTTTCGAAATCAGTATTTTATAGAAAGTTTTAATTCTGTGTGATCTAAGGATTCGTTGTAGTCATTCTGTTTTTTTTTCATGACGGTATGACAGAACTACAGTGCCAACCCATGATAGTCCATTCAATTTATTATTGTTATTATTCATCAAAAGAACATTTCATCTTAGTATATTTTTGATAATATTCATGGGGAAGTTATCAAACAGTTGGATGTTTATATTTTTTATCACAATGTTTGACGCTCGTCTGAGTCAATTTAGAGACAAATGGATTTTTGCATTGAGTGGATGTACCGAGTTGAACTTGATACATCGATTTGTGTTAGATGGTTTGATTTAAACTTCTATTTGAATTTATTTTGACTAAACAGTATAAAATTGGTAGTTTCATTTGTTTTCAAAAAAAATTGTTTGACCAGAACAGAGACTTAGTACGAAATAATCAGCAACTACAATTTATCACAATGGGTTTTGTGGAGAGTTCTAGAAATTTTCACAGATTGAAATCATGAGTCAGTTGAAGCTAGACCACCATGGAAAACCTGGAAGTACTGGACGGCCGTTTCGTCCTGGTATGGACTCCTCAGCAGTGCGCGTCCACGATCCCGCACCACGCGGGGCTCGGACCCACGACCTACTGGTTTCGCGCGCGAGCACTTAACCACTAGACCACTGAGCCGGCATCCAACGGTGTTAATGTCTAACTTCAACCAATCCACGAAGTTGCGCCACCGTACACCATTGTCTTCAGTGAGTTGTTATCTCACAACAGACCGGTTGAACTCCACTGGTAACGGCTTCTCACTAGGACTCCAGGAGTTTTTCTTGAAGTCAGTCACTAATGAACAGTTGACTATTATCATAATGGGTTTTGTGGAGAGTTCTAGAAATTTTCACAGATTGAAATCATGAGTCAGGTCGTGGGTCCGAGCCCCGCGTGGTGCGGGATCGTGGATGCGCACTGCTGAGGAGTCCCATACCAAGACGAAACGGCCGTCCAGTGCTTCCAGGTTTTCCATGGTGGTCTAGCTTCAACTGACTCATGATTTCAATCTGTGAAAACTACAATTTAACTTAAAAGGTGTATTGTCCAACTAATAAAGATCATTATAATGTACATAACTAAATATATATTACTGATATATTTCTTTATTTGATAAAAATTTGACTCTAATTAGAGTATAGATTTTTTGAAATTTAAACCCAACTCGTACGAATCTATGTTCCATTGTATAACGTGATAAGACGTAGTATCTATGAATAATAATTAAATAATTCAACTAGTTTAAGACTTTATAAAAAAAATAGTATTTTCATTTATAACTCTGTTCCCTCGTAAATCTAATATACAACATTCATTCCTATCTTTTTCATAAAGTCATTCAAAGATTGTAACAAGGAATAAAAATCGTAAAATAAGTTCATCGAATAATTTATTTACAAGTGGATAGCTAATATTAAATTATATTTACTATATGATAATCTATTGAAATGTCTCATTCTTGTCAAACCTTTTAGCTTGACGTAAAAAATATAATATAATTATTGGAAGTATTCGAATTAATGTATTAACTAAGAACTCCCGAAATACTCAAGTTTAAGGCAGGTAGGACTAAATGAACACAAACTCATCGCATTTTGTATTCGTATTCAGCGGGCAATGAAGTACAGAATAATCATCAGTTAGTAAAAATACCACAAAGAAGGGATTTTTCGTCTACATGATGTAGCCTACTAAAGCTGTACAATCGTATTTAACGTTATTTACTCAATGTTGACCTCACAAGCATAGTATATCTGAAGCCTTCCTTGTATGGGTATCGGAATGTAAATACGCGTCAGTTAAATGTTTCACGTTTTACTGTCTAATCAATTGTCTCTATTAAACCATTATTTAAACTTATCTACAAAGTTAAACTGGCTCAAAGATAATATGATTTATAAATTTACACAGCAGAATTGTTAGCAATTTAAACCTGGTCATTATGTTCAAAAGAGATATTCAGTTGTTTATTTTATGAATTATTACTAATCATCCAGTGAACAATTATCTTTCACATTTATTATTATTATTTTTACTCTGTTAATATTACCTTTTCATCTTCTGTCAGTTATTTGAAATATTTGATGATAACCTAATACCTTATTCTATTATTGATTAATATGTAGAAATTACTCTAAATAAGATCATACGTTTAAAAATTGAGGCCATCGAACAGAAATTCTCTCTGAACTATTTTCATTTAACTTAATAATATAATAATTACCAGAAAAGAGTGAATAATTAAACACTTAAACGCTTATTACTGTAAGATAAAAGGCGGTTATACATACTAATTACATCATTATGTTATAAGTTGGTTTTACATGAGTTATAAAAGGCTTTATCATGCTTAAAATATAATCCTGTTTTATGCTGATAATGAGCCGTGGAGATAACGATATGTGAAAATGAGATAACATTAAGGGCCATATTTTACTAATGACCTAGTCACGATCGTGAATATGATTCTAAAATAAAATGTTTCGTTATGCTTACTAAACAGATAAAAAATAAACGTGGTAAATTATTTCTAGATAGTGTACATATTCAAATATGATTGCAAATATGTGGTGTCAAAAATAATCTTCCACTTGTTTGAACGAATCTTGCAATATACTCCGTCAAACATAAATTCTAATTTCAGAAATTCCTGTAGAAGATTAGATACACAGAATAGTAAGTTATGAATAAGGCAGTGTGAAGTATGCTATCGAAAGACTAGTACTTTTAAGTTGACTCGAAATCGGGCTATCAAAAGATGAACACTACTTAACTCTTTATTAGTAACAATATGCCATGGATTGAAATTGCTTGGATACATAAAAAGGCATCAAGTAAATCTGGTACGGTAAAAGTCAGATCCTTTCAAAACCGCCCGCCGTTGCGTTTCAGCGACATTGAACGGCCCGAAAAGAGGCGGACATTCATTATTACAATTTATGTTGGTTTGTTGGGTGTCTTTTGGGTTACACGAATATCAGGTGATCTCATTAGTTAAGTTATCTTTTGCTGCAGCAAAATCACTGTGAAAAACATTGATTTAGCTCTCCCTGTCTTGTGGTGCACACCTTGAATAGGCTGTTGCTTCGTAACTTCCAAATCTCCCTATTTCGGGGATAATTTCGGTCGAGAGCGTCCTGTTCTGTTTGCCTGGAAGCGAAAGAAATTGCGAGCAGATACAACCCGGATGGTGTATAAATTGTGACATGCCGGTGTCACTGCCATCATATGCTACTGCCATACATAGGAAGACGAACTTTCGATCCATTAAGAAATGTAAACTGTAGATTTCATCATATTCTTGGACATTACAGTCGATGGAAGATAGATAACACTCACACCTTCAATATTAACAACACTTTCACTACCCAGACGAAGCAAACAGTATGTACAGATTCAACGAAGCCGATTTTTCTTAATAATCATCAATAAGTAGGTAAGAATGTAGTTTCTCTAACGCTTGTCCTTGTGTGGTATTCTTTACGATAGCAGCAGCGCG